CTAATCTTCAAATCCCCATGTAAGCTTCGCCCCGCCTGCATTTTGCAATAATTTATTCTCCCTGTTCTATAGTCGGATTTTTACCTCATGATCTGGGTTAGAGATATTCTCCAGTATCATTTTAGCTTGCTGGAAGTGTTTGCTAGCAGCCATGTAGAGATCAGAAGATTGAGGAGGAGGATTGTATTTGTTTAGATCAGACATTTCCTAAACATTAAATAATAAGTATCCCTTAAAATTGCAGCAATAAAAAATCTTTATAGAAGTTATTTAAAAATACGTTGTGGTTTGGTGCAAAGAGACAGCACACAGAAGCAGAACTATTTTACTCATTATTTCATACATAATTTTATAATCAAGTAAGCAATGATTTATTCACTTGTGGTACTGTAAGACTAACAAATTATCATACTTTTCAACACCAGTAAAATAGCATGGGAAATGCTATTTCATATTTTAAAAGATGTGACTTGATGTAAACTACTGTTTCCTGCCTTCATTCCAAGGAAAAGAAATATATACCACTGAGAACAATTGCTCGTTAAGAAGATGAAAATACTGACATTTGTGAATAATTGTTTTTTTTTTAAATTATTAAAGTAAAGCATACAAATAACCTATAACATGGCTCTAATGTAACTATGATTCACCTTGAATTGCAAGTAGTGTACAGGTGGTGGTGTGATGACACTGTTGAATGGGGCAAACCGATGTTCATATCGAACTTGTTCACTATCGAGTTCAAATTTCGGTTTTCTCACTTTACCATCCATGTCAAAAGCAATCATGGTCTTCAGGAAAATGCAAAGTAAAAGCAGCAGAATGAGAGATCTGCTTGTTACAATAGCAGCAATAGAAATGTTAATATATGTATATACTAGTTACAAATAATTGGAAAAATGGTTTATAAAACAAAAATATTACTGACCCCATACAATTGCATATGACTCTTGACATTCCATCCTAGCGATTCCCTCATGAAATGTAGTTCACAACTGTACTACTGGTATTAAACTAGCTCTTACAACAGCAATTCATACTATGATCACCACATGACTATACTACTGAAACGTACTCAAAAACTGTAGATGGTCCAAAATGTGGTAGCCCAGCTGCTAACGGATACGAGGTTTAGCAGTTTAACATCAATGCTTTGCTTGCTGCATTGGTTACCAATTAAATTACCAGGTCCAATTCAAAGTGTTTATGCCCTTTACAAACATTTAATTTTTTAAAAGATTATTTAACTTATTGAATTGATATAATGTATAATACATCACCTTGTACATCCCAGCACACATATTTTGATAGGCTTGGCTCATGGTAATCTCTCTGCTCAGAGGACGAGCTGTAAATTTCATGCAAAGAAAGACTTTATCATAAAGCTGTGCTAATTTCTGAAATATTTTTTAAAACCCATAAATCTGAAAAATGAGGCAGTTCTCAGAGGTGATACCAGTTATTCTGCAAAATTTGCACTGATTCTACAACCGAATCTATATTATGAGACACACATGCTAAACCTTCCCTAAAAAAGGCCACTTTTTAATGTACAGCTGGGTTGCAACAAATGGTAATAATTGAAAAGTATTTTTTGTTTATTTTACTCAGGCTTACAGGCCACTTGAGTTGTAACCTACTAAGAGTACACAACTGGGGGGAGACCTACTTTTTTCTTTTAATGATAAAAGTGAGCTAAATTGGGATGACAAATGAGTTATGAAATCCCTGATGCACCTAAGAATTTGGCTAAACAATTAAGCCTAACTGGAAAAACACTGGAACATTTATTCAATGGGAAAATGCAATTAGTGGAAAGAGAAGCTCAAACTTCCATATTTGTTCAACAACACAATAAGGAATTAAGATTATATTCCACTGTCATTATTGTTGCTTAATAATTTATTTTACAATGTTTATACTATGGGTATTTTATCATACTTTAATGTATGGTTGATTGCCATAAGGCTATTTTTAACTGCTGAGAGATTGTGGATAGCAGCAAGAACAAATTAATATTGTAAAATAAACTTAGTTAAAAAAATCCAACTATATGACCTTTTTTTCTCCCTAATATTCCAATTCCAAATAGTCAAATATAGATTTTTATTGAAGAATGAGATTGGAGTTAATGAAACTGCTTACTTGGCAAAACATATATAATTTAGATTTTGATGGCTACTTGTAGCTGAACATAAGAAAGGCAACCATCAAGTTTACATGTCATAAAAGAACCCCAGGCAAAACAATAAAGAAGTTGCAAGATCTCTCTCAAAAATATACCTTTTTTCTTTTTCTTTGTTTTTTTATTACTCCGGCCTTTCTGTTGTTCTTCCATTATTCTTTCTTCAGCCATCTGAGAACTATCAGCACGACTGAGTGTTGACATTAGCCATGCATACAGAAATTCAGAAAGGTACCTAATGTAGAAAGAGTACCTAATTTAGGACTTTTACTAACTTTTGATTTAAGTGAGACTTTAAGTAAAAAAAAGGAAGGTAACTATTTGAGAAAATTGTTCATTTTCAAATGAATTGATAAACTAAAATAAAAATCATACATGGTATTTGTAGACAACTGTATAATTTAAATGTATAGAACCTTTACTGAATCAAATTATATACCAGCTATCATTAAAAGAATGTCTGCTTCACTAAAACTGTCCTTTTTTTTTTTTTCCAAAGCATAGAATGGAAGAAAGAAAACTGATCAGCCAAATGCAATAGTGCTGATCTTACTAAAATTAACATAAAGACAGTAAGATTCTGGAGAAAGGTTCTCTT